TCAGAGCCGCCACGACCTCCTTGCTCTTGGAAGATGTTTCACTAACATGCTTTAAACTCCTTTAGTAAGTGCAATTAGCGGTGCCCATTACTTTCTCATCACTTAATTTAAATCAAACCGTCTCGTGGCAATCCGATCGCCCGCGGACTAACCCCTGTTGGCACGGTCGTGGCACCGTGCCAACAGGGGTCCCACAACGAATCTCCGCAAAAGTTGGCAAATTGCCACGGACGGGCATGTATATATTGTTGCGTTCAGGTGATTAAGCAAACTTGTTTATTCTGTTTAGGGATTGCTGGTGGTGAGTCCGAAAGGCGACTAGTTGGAGCTCTCAGCTTCTCTCCTTCGAGTTGTTGCACCGCACCGCTCTTGTTCATTGGCGAAGAAACGATTGTCTACCCTCCTTATAATTGAGTTGCTGGGGAGTGGCGGCACTGCCCGACTGTGAAACCGCCAAACTGCGGAGTCGCCGAACTGTCGAGAACTGCTCGGACTGGCTCAAACTGGGCCATTTATACCCAAAAAATGGGCAGCTTATATACTGGCCCCGGTTTTGATGAAGGGTCTCATTGTCTTCTCTCCCGTCGCGTTCTCCTTCCAGCCAACAATGTCAGAGCGTAGGCTGAAAATTCGAGTTGTGTGCATCTTCGATCAAGCTCGTGTTGCCGTTAGATAACCGGGTGTAGCGTGTCGTGTAGTCGCTCAACTTGGTCAAAGAGTTGTTCGAATTGTGACTGTCACGGCACGTAGAAGACGTTTGGCTGTTATTGTTTACTGGGGTTCATCCTGAAATGAATTAGGTTAGGTTGAACTGATAAAATTTTTACCTCTTCTTTCGTTGACTCTCTGGGAGACGACTGAAGTGAGAGATCGGTTGAAGTCAGTTGAAGATATTGGTTCGAGAGGTTCAGAAATGTTGGGCAATGCCCTGAGCAATTTTGACAGTTTGACAAAAAATAGAATGTGGAAGGGTTGTCGGACGGGCAGGGCCGTGCTTTGAACGCTCTAGAAGATAGAGTGAGTATGGCAAGAGATAATAGACAATCTCCCGAAACAAAAAACCCTTTGTTCTATTTTCGTTGTTACTTCTGATGGTCCCTCGTCGAGCCCCCGATTCCTGTGACGTTGGTGTCCGTTAGTTGGCATATTCGAGAAGCTAGCGGAAGCATAAGAACGTCAGCGAATGGCTACATGAGCCGTTATAGTGTAGAAAATCGAGATAGTGATGGGAGGCATGCGCGAATATGCTTCGTGAGATATGAGTGAAGCTGCATAGCGGAAAGAGATAGAACTGTTTAGAAGAAGTCAAGAAGAATAAGTAATCAAAGAAGGAAATTCTGGATCATAGTTATATCCACGAAAAGAGAATTAAAAGAAATAAAGAAATTATAGTGATGAAGAGAAAATAAAACGATAGAATATCGAATGGGAAAAATAACACTTAACAGCGACCTTGCTGCTATGTGAATTGACTTTTATGATATTGAAAGTACGTGCACGATGATAATTTACTTAGATTCATGATTACTGTGATTGGAGCTATAAGGACGTTGGCCTTGCGCGCGCACTCAGTCATTCAAGGAGCGGTTTATCGTTCAGTCCTACATTGCAACAGTACTGCCACTTACGCAAGACACCGAAAAATAGCTAGATCCGATACAAACTGGAGTCTTTTCGAAGTTGCCTGGACCCTTATTGGGATAAGAAAGAAAAGTGGAAGATTACTGATAGAATGAAAAACGCTACCAGTTGCATTTTCTATGAAGTGTCGAATGGCTGACTATGAGGTCTCCACAGAGGGCACAGCCATAGGTGCGGAGTGCAAGGAGAGCTAAAGTGACCAGAAAAGTGCCGAAGGAAAGAAAGGAAAATAAGAAAATAGAGAATGGATGCCGGCGATAAGCGGAAGATGCCTGGCACTAATGGAACTATGCGTGGCCATCCGATCATCCCAGAAAGATTGTTGTGACTGGCTAGCACAAATGACAGTTGAAAGAAGGAAGAAAAAAGAAAGGGAAAGAAAAGAAAAACGAAGACTGACCTCCACGGCTTCCACAGAAGGCAATCGCATACGCTGCGACCAGTAATAATTTCAGGTTTTCACCCTCTTCAGATGTACAGTCGACACAATAATATTACGACATCATTTATCGAATATGTAGAGCTACAGGCGAATAATAAGTACTGGATAGACAGTGTGCCGAGCCTCTTCGGATTCGGGGGCGGTCATCGTCGATCTCGCCTTCGCTGATTCTCCCATTCCCTTTTGTATCTCCTCCGCGTCGCTGCCTCCTGTAATCAGTTCTCATCATCAGCGTCGCGTTAAGCTTACTTATGAGAAACATCATCTATTGATCACCGTCCTAACCTCAACTTTCACGCTACAAAACCATTGAAACTCGTCTACCATGGGTGTGGCATTCACACGGGACAATCTCTGGCCAGTTATTGTGCCCTATAGATGATGTTTTTCGACTTCATAAAGGCATGTATGGTATAAGGGGACGGAGGGGGGGGGGG